CCGCTGATTCAGGTAAGTTATTGAATGAGTTTTAACCCCTTCAGCAACATGGGATGGGAGATGGGAGGGTCCTTCAATACCTGGAAAACGGGTTTGTTTTTCTGGCCCTGGAGAGTCCCTTTAAGGTCTCTCTTCGAATTGAGATCTGATGATTAATCCATAATCTGGTAGTTTGCACCACAACAAGGATGAACAAGCAATATCAGTTTTTGATAACAGATTGGGATCTATTGTGAAAATATATATATAATACACGGGTTTACTTCAGGGAGATCATGCCAAACTAATCTTATTGATTTGTTTGATTGGGTAATAAAATTATAGATCAGGGTGGTGCAGTAGACATTGCTTACCTATATTTCAGTAAGGCTTTTGACACTGTTGCACATAGAAGGCTTATCAATAAACTGCAATCTTTAAGTTTGGATTCCAATATTGTTGAATGGGTAAGGCAGTGGCTGAGTGACAGGCAACAGAGGGTTGTAGTCAATGGAGTATATTTAAAGCATGGGCTTGTCACCAGTGGGGTACCTCAGGGATCTGTACTTGGACCCATTCTCTTTAATATTTTTATTAGTGATATTGCAGAAGGTCTTGATGGTAAGGTATGTCTTTTTGCTGATGATACTAAGATATGTAACAGGGTTGATGTTCCAGGAGGGATAAGCCAAATGGCAAATGATTTAGGTAAACTAGAAAAATGGTCAGGGTTGTGGCAACAGACATTTAATGTGTATAAGTGCAAGATAATGCATCTTGGACGTAAAAACCCAAGGGCAGAGTACAGAATATTTGATAGAGTCCTAACCTCAACATCTGAGGAAAGGGATTTAGGGGTGATTATTTCGGATGACTTAAAAGTAGGCAGACAATGTAATAGAGCAGCTGTAAATGCTAGCAGAATGCTTGGTTGTATAGAGAGAGGTATTAGCAGTAGAAAGAGGGAAGTGCTCATGTCATTGTACAGAACACTGGTGAGACCTCACTTGGAGTATTGTACACAGTACTGGAGACCGTATCTTCAGAAGGATATTGATACCTTAGAGAGGGTTCAGAGAAGGGCTACTAAACTGGTTCATGGATTGCAGGATAAAAATTACAAGGAAAGGTTAAAGGAACTTGCCATTTATAACTTGGAGGAAAGACGAGACAGGGGGACATGATAGAAACATTTAAATACATAAAGAGAATCAACACAGTAAAGGAGGAGACTATATTTAAAAGAAGAAAAACTACCACAACAAGAGGACATAGTCTTAAATTAGAGGGACAAAGGTTTAAAAATAATATCAGGAAGTATTACTTTACTGAGAGGGTAGTGGATGCATGGAATAGCCTTCCAGCTTAAGTGGTAGAGGTTAACAAAGTAAAGGAGTTTAGGTATGTGTGGGATAGGCATAAGGCTATCCTAACTATAAACTAGATGGGCCGAATGGTTCCTATCTGCCGTCACATTCTATGTTTCTATGTTTCTATGTAATGTGCAATTAGTGTCTTGTATAGAAGGATAATGCAACAATTTGCAAAAACAGCTTCATGAAATGTTCCAGACTGACCAATTAAACATTGACCAATTGGAAAATGGATTTTAAAATGTCAGAATGAACTTTAAATATTGAATTAATTTTAAAGACAAATTAAATGTGTGTCCACAGGGGCAGCTTACAAGGCACAGATCCCCGTATCATTGAAGAGTTTATAATCTATGGAAAAAGGAGTTGTAAAATACATTAATCCCATTTTAATATGTGGATGATGTGTACCGCTCTCATATGCTTACTATATATATATAAAAAAAAAAATTCAATTATTTTTCAGTGACTGTATTATCGTATTGAGTTAAAAGCAGATTAAGGGAATGTGGGATACTGTGATAAGTGTTAGAAGCAACTATAACTATATACCCTTTGTGTAACTTTATTTTTAATGATTAATGGTTTTACTCTAATTGGCGATATGTATATGGCTTTTTTCATATATCTTTTTGTCTCTTTGTCTCTTTCCAAATTTGCATGTCAGAACACAAGCTGTTACAAACTATCTCCAGCTTATTCTTATAAACTGATATAAAGTAAGAAGAAGAATAATTCCACTCACAAGACCAGAGTCATACCATCATATGACTCTAAGTGTATGCTTCTTTGGACCATTAGGGGGTTGTCCAGATCCTTTTGTTGCCGGATTCTTGGTGTTCCCCCTTGTATTTCTTTAATAGGTCTATGATGGTATGACTCTGGTCTTGTGAGTGGAATTCTTCTTCTTACTTTATATCATTGTATAGACATACTACGCTATTTTGTGTATATTCAGTTGTGTTTTACAGATTATTCAAGATTTTATGCGGCTCCGCCTATTGTTTTGTATGTATTTTGATGTATTTATAGTGGTGTAGGGGATACCACTTATTAGGTGTAATTGAGCTGCTCATCTCTCATTTCTTCCACTTTGTGTACATTTCCTTTTATCTTATTGTATTCTTATAAACTGACTCAAAAACTCTGTGTTCATCAACCTGCTAGAATAGTCAATGCAAGTTATGCAGTAATCAAATTAGAAAAAAAAAGGCTCAACTCCAATAACTCCATGAAATGCAACCTTACCCATCTGTTTTTACTTTTGACCTAAAAGACTTTTGCCAAATTCTAAATTTCCCCCAACTCTTGGTCCTACAATCTTTATTTAAATTTGTTTGCGATCATTTATTTCGAGGTTCTGTTTGCTCCCTGTGCAGTGTTGTAGAATATGATACATCTTTATAAATAAAATGAGTAATAATTCATCTTGCTGTACACCAAATACGCTTGAATCTTATACAGAAAGATAGCAGTCATTTGAAGTCCTCATGAAAAGATCCCCGATGACGAGGAAACAAACTCACGTTCGGGTAGTGTATATTTCTCAGACTCTACAAGTTCATGACACCTTTGAACCACACGCATGATTATATATGAGTAAAACTTTCACAATGACAATCTTTTATCTCTGAAACCTAAGAGGCATTAGCTTTCAATAGCTTGTTTTCTAGTGTAGGCAGAGATGAAGGGTAGTGGCATGAAAAACCCCAAGGTGTTTTTCCTTGTGTCACACTTTTGATGGATGAACATTTTATAGTCTGACGTAAACATGGTGTGGAGGAAAGAGAAGACTTAAAATGAACTATTCTTGAGGGAGTTTCACAAACACAGGGACATTTGTCACAGTAATGTTGATTGCTTAGCAAAGCAGAGATTCTTTCCTTCCATTAAAAGGAGCAAAGGTCTGAAAAATACATGAGTAGAGCTTAAAAAAACAAACAAAACACAAAATACATTTATCTTTCAATATCAGTTTCCACTGTAGCAGTGTCAAAGTTGATGCAAATTTTTTCTCTCCCTTTTTTTAAACTAAACAAAATGAAAGAAGGTTTGCGAACTATGTCCATAATTGAAAAATGTCTGTACAATCAAGAAATCCCTGGCCACCAAGTGTCGTTTGGTCAACATTTGTGTTTTTGTCGCTGAAATTGCATATTCAGTTTGTTTATATTGGGGTTGTTAAAAACTAAGTCTAATTGTGACAACGGTTTATGAACAACTGAACTGTAAGATCTTGTTCCACAATTTTTGGAAATTCTGGAAGACTCTGGAGGTTTTCAGTTTGACTTTTTACACAAAATCTCAAGCTTGTAGTCAGCAATCCGTTTTTATCCAAGTGAGAACCTTGATTCTAAGTTTGTTATGAGATTTTTCCTTATGTTAAACAATGAGAACTCTATATCGTTCACTGGCAGTGCTACATTAATTTACGATAATATTTTATTAAACAGGGATTTTATATATTGGGTGAGGCTAGCGAACCCCCCTATTGCCCAAGTATGGTTTTAAAAGTAGATGGTAGCAGTGTCTTTTTGTGGTTACCCTGAGAGCAGTAACGGGCTTTAGGACATGTAACACTAGATTCTAAGGGAATTAGATACATATTTTATTTACATTATATTTTAAATGTGTGAGAGACAAGATTAGCATCCAAAATCTGTATCAAATGAACATATAAATATGTAAGCTGCACCCATGTCTGTGTGTTTGCACAATGCCTAGTGAAACATCTCATAATGTGCTCTAATTAAACTAGAAATTTTGGAATATTGACAAGAAAATGTCAAAGTTTAGTGTTATTATTATTTTGTTATTTATAGAGTGCCAGCAAATTCCATAGCGCTGTACAATGGGTGGACTAACAGACACGTAATTGTAACCAGACAAATGGACGCACAGGAACAGAGGGCCCTGCTCAATGGGCTTACATGCTAGAGGTAGTGGGGTATAGTGACACAAGGGGTATAAGAAGGGGTAATGATATAGGTTGCTAGAAAAGTATTCACTGAGAACTTAGGTTATTATCGACAGTTGCAGGAGAGGAGTCATGGGGGCGAGGTGGAATGAAAACCCGCTAACAGTTTTAGTGATATGCCTTCCTGAAGAAGTGTGTTTTCAAAGATTTTTTTGATTGAGTGGAGACTGGGTGAAAGTCTAACGGAGAAGTGAAGGGAATTCCACATAAAAGGTGCAGCCTAGGAGAAGTCTTGGAGGAGAGCATCAGAGGTGGGAGTAGGGACAGAGGATAGGCGTAAGCGATAGGCTTATATATGTGTAAGTTTAGAGTATATATATAGTATCTCACAAAAGTGAGTACACCCCTCACATTTTTGTAAATATTTTATTACATCTTTTCATATGACAACACTGAAGGAATGACACCCTGCTACAATGTAAAGTAGTAAGTGTACAGCCTGTAAAACAGTGTAAGTTTGCTGTCCCATCAAATTAACTCAGCACACAGCCATTAATGTCTAAACCATTGGCAACAAAAGTGAGAACACCTCTAAGTGGAAATGTCCACATTGGACCATTATCCATTTTCCCTTCTCAGTGTCATGTGACTCGTTAGTGTTAGGTAGCAGGTGTGCTAGATTTGGTGTTATCACTCTCACACTCTCTCATACTGGTCACTGGAAGTTCAACATGGCACATCATGGCAAAGAACTCTCTGAGTATCTGAAAAAAAGAATTGCTGCTCTACATAAACATGGTCGAGGCTATAAGAAGATTGCCAAGACCCTGAAACTAAGCTGCAGCACGGTGGGCAAGACCATACAGCGCTTTCACACGACAGGTTCCTCTCAGAACAGGCCTCGACATTGTGGACCAAAGAAGCTGAGTGCACGTGCTCAGCATCATATCCAGAGTTTGTCTTTAGGAAATAGACATATGAGTGCTGCCAGCAATGCTGCAGAGGTTGAAGGGGTGGGGGGTCAGCCTGTGAGTTCTCAGACCATGCGCCCGCATCAAAGGGTCTGCATCAAATTGGTCTGCATGGCTGTCGTCCCAGAAGGAAGCCTCTTCTAAAGATGATGCAAACAGTTTGCTGAAGACAAGCAGAACAAGGACATGGATTACTGGAACCATAAATAATAGATAAACTTATTTGGTTCAGATGGTGTCAAGCGTGTTTGGTGGCAACCAGGTGTGGAGTACAAAGACAAGTGTGACAAACTCCCCTTTTTACCCAAGTTTGCTACAAGCTCCTGGAGAAGTCTGCTTGCCAGCCTCCTGCCCACAGACCACCCTGGAGCTTGTTAACACCCATTAACAACTTGGAACGTTTCTCACCGCAGTGTTCTAATTGTTCGTCTGGGTGGCCGCAATTCCTGTACACAATCACAAGGTGACGGCCATCTTGTTTGTATGAACGCAGGTAGTGGTGTTTGGGCATGAATCTCCTGGAGCTATAATCGGATACAGAAACTCCCGAACACCGCTGAACTTCCATCATCACCTGCATTCATTTCTATACAAGTTAGAAGATCACTGTTCGGTGGGATCATTCATCTGGATGAAGGGAACAAGCTCCTGGGTAAGACTATTGACTTTGTTCAGTAGTTTGTTCGTTTGCAAACTACCGAACTAGACCGGCCGCAAGCCCTGATTCTCTGGAACTGTTTTGGGAATGGGACCATGCCTGCGGCCAGTCAAAATAGGACTTCCATAAAATTTCAGAACCCCTGAACTGATCTGAGTGATTTTTGGATATGTTGGTCACCAAGATCAGGGCTATCAGGGGATGAAAGATTTTGGGGTATTTTGGGGATATTGTGTGTTTTAAGGCATTTTTGGGTTATTGTAAAAATGTGTGTTTTGTGTTTGGAGATAATTGAGTTTAGTATAGTGCTTGACTCGATTATCGCCTAAGTAAGCCCCAACATCAGCCCCAATATAATGTAAAAACCAAAGAAAAGAAAAAGTTACCTGCGCTCTCTCCTTAATCCCTATGCATATTTAGACAAATGGAGGTCATTTAGTTGCTCCAATGGCCATTTGAGGGAATGCCCGCCTGCCAACGTCAAGGCAGACCCCTCTAAGCGGGTCCTAACACTGACCTTTCACCTTGCTTCCTTGAGCTTCTGGCAAAGATATCTCTAATGAGACAGAGAGGGGTATTTCTTATATACACCCCTATATACTTATTAACCCTTAATAGGGAACACATGGGATGGGCGGCAGCATTGTAACAAGATTGTATTATGTGTGGGAGCGGCAGCATTGTAACAAGATTGTATTATGTGTGGGAGTATATTAGATTTTAATTCTATTGTGATTGGTGTATTACTTTGTGTACCTGTGTCCAACAAGGTTCACGTGGGTGTCACCCTTGTTGGGAAACTTGCATAATAGGCCAGTGTGCCTCCATTGTAAGGACTGGATTAGCTCGTAAGGACTAGAGCTAATTCTCCTTTCGGCTCCAGGAAGGAGCGGTTCCAGGGCCCCAGTCAAGCCACGGCGACAGTGGGCAGAAGAGACTGGGCAGCAAGGCAGTATTCCAACATGATAATGACCCCAAACACACCTCCAAGACGACCATTGCCTTGCTAAAGAAGCTGAAAGTAAAGGTGATGGACTGGCCAAGCAGGTCTCCAGACCTTAACCCTATTGAGCATCTGTGGTGCATCCTCAAATGGAAGGTGGGGGAGCGCAAGGTCTCTAACCTCCACCAGCTCCGTGATGTCATCATGGAGGAGTGGAAGAGGAGTCCAGTGGCAACCTGGAAAGCTCTGGCGAACTCCATGCCCATGAGGGTTAAGACAGTGCTGCAAAATAATGGTGACCACACAAATATTGACACTTTGGGCCCAATTTGGACATTTCCACTTAGGGGTGTACTCACTTTTGTTGCCAACGGTTTAAACATTAATGGCTGTGTGTTGATTTATTTTGAGGGGACAGCAAATTTACACTGTTATACTACTTTACATTGTAGCAGAGTGTCATTTCTTCAGAGTTGTTAAATGAAAAGATATATTAAAAATATTTACAAAAATGTTAGGGGTGTACTCACTTTTGTGAGATACTGTGTGTGTATATATATATATATATATATATATATATATAACAAGTTAAGGGAATACTGAGAGCATCATAATTGCTATAGCCTGCTGCAGTGGTTATAGTGACAAAAGTGCAGACTGTAGTGGTTACGGTCCTTGGATTATTCCATTAAATATGAGGAATTAATTATTTGGCATATTAATTTAAACTGATACAAATTTCAAAATGATATTTGATAAAGCCACATACTTCAGTAGTATTTAGTGTTGTCAGACTTCTGGATGATCTGAGAAGCCAGTAAGCAGCTTGGCATTACCTAAAAGCCATTGATAGTTTTGTTTTAAAAAAAATGTATTTAACAGAAAATGGGAAGATAACACCCAAAGACATTCTGTATCGCAAATGCTACAATGAACTGTAGTGGTTATGGTACTTGGAATGGTCCTATAGCCATGTAATTGCTCTATAGTATATGGCACGATTTTATGGTTGATATGAAATCTGCCATGATTCCATTAAATAAAGTGCATAATTAAAATAAAAAATGTAAGGTTCAAGTAAGAACAAGGAATTTTGTAAATAGTATGAAACACTCTGTTTACTTCAGATGTTCTGCAGAATACAAGCAGACAACTGGCCCACTCTTATAAGACTGCAATTTCGATCAATCACCGAGCAGCCATTGTAAAATGTATTTACTATATTAAATTGGGGTAGGTGCTATCTCCTTGCTCTGTAATAAGCGAATTGAAAAGATTTATGGGAAATCTGGACTGGAAGGTTTTGTCAGCCTGAAAAACTGGCCTAATTTGTGCTGTCTTCTCTGTCTTGTCAAAGAGCAGTTTAAATGATAATAATACTTATAGAGTGTGTGAGTTGCAATTCAAATGATGAACAAAGAGATCGGCACATTTAAAATAAAGGGCTCTAAAATTTTCTACGGCACGGAGAATCTGCTTCATACCTAAAAAAATTATGGTTGTCTGCTATACATAAGCGTACTAAGTGGAGACATTATTTGTTGTGGTGAAAAGTGTATATACAGCTAACATAACACAGCACGCTCAACTTAAAAAACAGCTTTAAGACCCATAAAGGTTAGCATGTTTACCATATCCTCTTCTAACCGTTGGGTGCTTGCTGTGGACCCCTTGCCTGGTCTTATCTTACTTCCCTCTTTTTTTTCTTATGTCATACCACTCGATTATTAGCTCTCTAATTAGTAACATTGCTTATTAAAGGAACACTATGGTCACCTAAATTACTTTAGCTAAATAAAGCAGTTTTAGTGTATAGATCATTCCCCTGCAATTTCACTGCTCAATTCACTGTCATTTAGGAGTTAAATCACTTTGTTTCTGTTTATGCAGCCCTAGCCACACCTCCCCTGGCTATGATTGACAGAGCCTGCATGAAAATAAAACTGGTTTCACTTTCAAACAGATGTAATTTAGCTTAAATAATTGTATCTCAATCTCTAAATTGAACTTTAATCACATACAGGAGGCTCTTGCAGGGTCTAGCAAGCTATTAACATAGCAGGGGATAAGAAAGCCTAAATAGGACTCTCTTTACAGGAAGTGTTTATGGAAGGCTGTGCAAGTCACATGCAGGGAGGTGTGACTAGGGTTCATAAACAAAGGGATTTAACTCCTAAATGGCAGAGGATTGAGCAGTGAGGCTGCAGGGGCATGTGTTATACACCAAAACTGCTTCATTAAGCTAAAGTTGTTCAGGTGACTATAGTGTCCCTTTAATATGGATCTGACTATTCTAGTGAGACTTGGTTTAATTACCCAACAGCTGTTACTGAAACTTGGTTGTAAAGCAATACAAATTCTACAAATAAAGAATTTAAAACCCCCCCACAAATAAAGTAGATTTTTTTTTAAACCCCCTGACTGTAACAAATAGTCATAAGTAATGGTCAAATATTGCATAAGTCTGCACCACATTTTTGTCAGGTCCTACTCCTTACGCGGGACCGCCACCCCCATGGGGCTCTTTGTACTTCAAGGTTTAAAAAGGGCCCGCATTAAGGCACCCGTGGCAGAACAGGTAGCACTCACCTAAATATGCACATTTTATATGAGATATGCTCAGAATTAGAACATTGTACTGCTCCTCTGAAGATAGGGGATCTCATATTAGTATAAATTAGATTAATAAAGAAAAAATAAATGATTGTACTTCATTACATTCTGACACTGCAGATACTTTGTTCCATCGGTGTTCCCAAAAAATGGCAAATGAGAAAGTAAATCAAACACAGAGTAGAACCGCACTCAGGAAGTATCCAAAAAGCAAATCCTTTGCAAAAAAGCTATGAAAACACTTGACGCATTTTGCGTCTGTTGAGAAAGCGGCTCTTTGCTGGAATGTATCTGTTTTTTCATAGCTTTCTGGCACAGGATTTGCTTTTTGGATAGTTTTTGGACTTTTGCCTTTATTCCCACCTCCTACAGGTGCATGGACTTTTTTATGTCTACTGCTAATACCAGGTCTGTACATCATAGCCATGCTGTTTTGTATCAATATACCTGTACTAGCAAAGGATTTACTTCTTTAATACTTTTGGATACTTCTCGAGAGAGTTTTTTTTTCTCTGTTTTTTATTTACCTTTTATCCTGGGAAATAGATGCAGCATAAAAAATTCAGTGCACTCAAAATCTTCAGACTGGAAAAAAAAACTCATGAGATAAAAAAAAAAAAAAGACATGATTTAGGTAAAGTGAAATCAGGATTTAGTTACATCAGGATCAAACAGTAAATAATCTTAGGGCTATTTGTATAGTGCCCATTTGCAAAACTATTTTTTTTTAATATTTATATTTAAAATACCGTCAATTTGGTAATATATTACAGTTAAAGGATCACTATAGTGCCAGGAAAACATACTCGTTTTCCTGGCACTATAGTG